ATGTCAAGTGACCAAGTTCACACAGCATTCCTTCGTTCGGATTCTACCGAAAGCCTGTGAACCTTAATGCTCGTATTAGAGAGTTGTCTCCTCTTTGATGTAGCAGTGTGGCGACCGTTTTCAAAATGTCGAGATCGGCCACCTAATGGAGGTCTCTGAAATGAAAATTTTTAGCAGGCTACCGAAATTACTGTACAAAAACGCACATAAAATAAGTACAGAGCATTTGGTAATACAAGTGAGGTGGGGAACCCTAGTGGAACACAGGGAGAATTCGGTGTTCGGTTATACCATTGATAAATGGAATCTTGGAAATAATAACCTCATATTCCCTAATTGGTCAGACATGTTGTTCTCTTGTATCGCCTAATTACTGGCCACTTACAAACTGGCTCCGGTGCATAAGTCAATTGTATGTATGGGAAACACTCTACATGAAGCTCCTCAAAAGTGACTGTCTGACTGACCTTCTTTTCAAGGCTAAATCTAATGCTTTCCGCTGAGTTCGACCGATTTTTCCTGATCGTCATGGACGTCAGCTCTATCATGACTATGATGTTACCGGCAACCCGTCACTATGAATATCCATTCGACATCCTTCTCCAGAAGCGGATGTAATCTATCTATATGGAACGGGTCAAGATTACTTACCCAGCGTTTTAGAAGCATATCAATACTACCACCTGCTGGTTTTTTGCTGCCTGTATTTCCCGTTTGAGTTCCCGTGTCAGACTGCTTGGCGATCAAATAGGAACTCCAGAGATTATAATCGAACGGGGAATATGATGGCCGGCGAGTTCCTACCTCAACCTGATAGATTTTGAAAGGGCTTTCGACAGTGTTGACTTTGAAGTGATTGGGAAACTTACAGATTTTTCCAAAGTTGTATCAGCCTCATCCAACAGCCATACGCCACATGTTAAGTGATTGACACCGAAAAATTTGGCGATGCTGTTGAGTTTAAGACAGTAGTAAGACGAAGGCTACTTCCCATTGGTGGCGATATTCTTAATTGTGATGGAATGAATTATGCGGGAGATTGTGGAATGGCGAGAACATAGGAATACGTTAGGCCGATAAAAAGCCTATAAAAGATTTGGACTTCACGGACGATTTATGTCTGAAGTTACACAAATTTGAAGAATCACAGGCACAATCCAACAAAGCGGCTGAAGGTGTAAAGAATATGGGGCTCCAGGTTATCATAGAGAAACAGAGGTGATGAAGATAACTGAACGACAGCAGCAAAAGCGCCAGTAATTACAGGCAGAATAAATTCGAGAGCAATCCTTTCCCTCACTTGTCTAGGCAGCATCGTTTCAACTGCAGATGAGGATGTCAAAACAATTATCGGAAAAGCAAGACAGCCGTCACTCTGATTTCATTGTGAAGATCTGTTACATTCAGCAAGAGGAATAGAACATTGATTTTCGATACCAAAGTTAAGTCAGCTCTTCTTTATGAGTTAGAAAGGTGGAATGCCACTGAAAGCATTTCGAACAGATTTCAGATTCCTATCAGCAACTTCCGTCGCTTCCTGTAGAAAATCAGATAACCAGGGGGAATTAGCCACCAAAAACTCTGGCAACTAACCACCTAAGAACATACTGCTCAGTTGGTATGCGGAAAAAATGTAGATGGGTCGAACACACTCTGAGGAGAAAGTTGGATGACATCGCTTGTCAGCTCATCACTCGAAAGTAACACAAACGGTGGTGGATGAGTTGGGTGTCCGAACAGGGTGTGGAGGAGGTCGTGTGAGAAGGCTATAGGAGATTAAGAACACTGGTAGATCCAGTAAAAGAGGACTTCAGTGAACAGTGTGAAATAGAGATGCGCTACTGGAGCCTTATTTTGTAGTTGGAATCTGAAGGTATAAAAGTCAGTAGTAAAATTTTGAATTATTATTTGTTTATTCAAATTCTGTGTTTCACATTATACCTAAGAGTTTTTGGCTTCGGACTGATTTCACTATCCAGAACATGTCTCCTAGAACGGTAAACCAGATTTCCGCAAACCTCTCTGTCCAGATTACGCAGGACCAGTAAGATTCCACAAATCTTACTGGATTTCACTTTAACGTCTGATTAGATAAGGATTCATACAACATAGTGGATAAGCAAGCCAGATTTCAGAGTGCGAAATATCGACATATCATGAATTAAAATTCTGCCTCCACGAAGGACAGTCTCCTCAGATTCTCACAGGTATAAATAAAATATCTACCACCCAGTTATGTGGCCAGTGCATTTTTACGTGGAATAACAGATTAGTTGCAGAGTAACAAAATAAACATTGTTTGTGTGACAATTGTGTGGAGATTAATGCAACGGCGAAATATGGTGAAGTGCCACATGCCCTAGGTGGTTAGTCATTGTGGTTTAAATCTACAAACATATTCCGACCACTAGACTGACGAAGCTGCCGCTTAATTGCACAACGAATCTCCAGTTTCTGTTTACCGATGAAAAATACAGACGGACTGATGGCTGCCCACAAGCCCAGGCATCGTTCACTCAGTGGCCAAACTTCGATTACAAAATCCACCATAGAAATGCGTGCGTTACTCTTTTCTCTTAGTTGTTTTCTTTGTCATTTAATGCATGCTCCCTCGGTCGTAACACTTTAAGTCACAACGTTTCAAAACTTTTAGCATTCATTCTAGCATTCTTTAAACTCTATTGTATTTCTTTTATAGCATTCTCCTCGAATATTAGTGATGTTATCTTATTTCTAAATGGACGACTCCAACTCTTTCATTTCACATATTGATTATCTCATGGTAGTGCTGTCGATAAGCTACACTTTACCAGTCTCTAGTTAGCGTAATCTACCGATGTACTCAGCAACTCGGTGCTCAATCTAAAGTACTGAGGGCAGAACACAAACTAAAAAGAACTGGTTATTGGGGAAATATCGCTCATGTGCGGCGAGTGGAATAGAAAGTAACAGTTATCCAAGGAGAAGCGCTTAGAACTTATTTAATAGGTATGGCCTTATTTCAAATCCAAGGAGTGTGCGTACGGACAGCACCACAAAGAGGCATAAGATGGCGTTGGGGCCAGTCATACAAGTACAAATTAAAACAAAGTCTTTAACACTGGAATGTGCATTACAAAATAATCATTGAAGTCCTACTGCCATCACTGTAATGCGTCCTATTTTGGACCAGCCGTTCTTCATATGTAAAAAGTAAACTGACTTGTATCTTATCTCCCAGAAACTGTATAAATATACTACATTTAATCAGTATCATAGTCTGTCATTTAGATTACATGTTTTGCAGAGTTTTGGATTAATTTAAATGTAGACTTCGTCATGAACCGGCAATGATTCCCTAAATGATGTTAATTCCTGACGAAATCTACACTGACGTTGTCAAATAGGTTATGGCTAATTACATAATCGATTTAAATTCACCAAACATCAGCGCATGTTCATCCGTGATAACTTAGATTCTTTTGGTGTGATTTTAATAATACTGTAGCGGTAAATGATTCCCCAAAATTATTGACCACAGCAATCATCGCTGAACATTGGATGCTGGCCCTCACTGTTTAAATCAATTTGTTTAGCTGAAGGCTTCCGGCCAAGCATCCACGCCATTTGGTACTGCGTCGTGTCACGTGCGTACACGATCACTAGATAGTCAAGCACTCTATACGGTTTAATATTCGGTCCCGAAATAAATCACGTAATTTGGTTGATTTTTCGTGCCTTTTGCTTTATCTTCGGTACACGAGAAACGAATACTATAGAAGTTGTTGGTAAAAGATCTTGCGTCAGTATACTCCTTACAATTCGCGAACGTCAATACCGTCAGCCTCCAAAATACCTTGGAAATTGCCTTTGATCTACACAAGCAAATTCAGAAACACATAGATTTGCAGGAGTACTAATGCCGACTTATATTGGTGAGTAGAACAAGAATGACTTCAAGCTTATCATTGAAAAGGATAGTTATACTGTAAGATTTTAGTAAAAGGCTTTGTCAAAGCATATTGTTTGAAAATGTAATCATGAGTTTTCTTCCATCACCCATAACTACCATTTGCGCCAAACATCGGTGAAAGTTCTCAAATGATACAAGCATTTTGAAATGACGACTGACAGTCTTCACCAGTAACCCAGCCCGTCGTATGACTTGTATATATGTGAACCTGGTGATACTGAAACAATAGATTAGTTTCTTTTTATCTTCCTCAAATGTAACGATTCACTGTGATGGGCCATTGAAAGACAGTGTAAAGCCTGGAATGGTTGTTATAAAGAAAGAAAATCATGTGTTTAGTAAGTTACTCACGTGGGAAAGATGGCAGGGGTAGTTCGTCAAAGTGTGATTTATGTTAAAGTATGTAATGAAAAAGGTGTAATTTATTTGCCATATGTTTCGTCACCACTGAAAATATCTTATTCACGGTTCCAATGTCCATTCACTTGATGAAAGTTACAGACAGCATCCAAGTAGCCCTGAACATAGTGGCACTGGAAAACTGGCATAGTCACAAGCCGACAGAAATAGAAACCCTATGATAGGCTTAAAATCAGAACCGAAATAGTGTTTTACAAAAGAAATGAGAAATACACTTCAGAACGCTTTCATTTTTTATAAAGGACATGATTTAAATACAACAATTTACATATCTATATCTGGTGACTTCAAATTTAATTAGATGTATGTTTTTACCTTTTCTTTATTTCTTTTTCTGTCTGTTAGTCTGAATGACTTTTCTACTATTACCGGTGGACTAACTGGTGAAAGGATCAACTCCTTTGACAGTAGAAACAGTATCTTAACACACCGCAAACTACAAACAACATATAATTAATCCCAGCACCACTCATTTGGGAGTCGACCAAAGCTACGACACTTGAGTGCCGAGATGAACTACGCAAAGACAAGAAGCCTTTACCTCACAATCAAGAGGCGAGTACAAATAAACCAAATTGGTTCACACTAGCTCGTAAAAACAATATTGTATATTGAAATAATGGCAAAAATTCAACGAATAACGGTACTTTCCATCACTTAGCCTTGGTGCGGGAGTTGAGTAGTATGGCCTTCTCTAGTCTTTATGGTATTTCTCTTTCTTTTCATATAATACTGTCTAGTTAAACGACTTTGTGATTCACTTGTCGTGATCATAGGAAGTGTCGTCATATCTGGAAGTATATTCGTCCTGTTTTATCGTAAGGATAGAAAGAAATTTTGTCGTAAGTTGTATGTTTTTTCAGTATAGCTTTATCGTATAGCCTTTACTAGTTGTAAAGTGATTTATCACTAATGATATCCTTGAATGCGATAAATATATATGTACAGCGAAATAAAAAAAATTGGTTTACTTAAGTACCTGAAATTTCAGGTTTTTAGTGGGTTTGGGGAAAAATGTTGCATTCTCCTGATACTATTGCACTGACGTGCCCCCCAAATTATTTGAATATGTATATTTAACGGTTATTTATTTAACTTGCCTTGAAAATGGATCATAACAGCTCCATCGGTGAACGCTTTCAAAGAGAAACTGGATCTCTGCAGAGATGTATACCGCGAGGATTATCATAGCCAACAAGAGCCTTCTATCCTTATAATCTGAATCTGACCCAACCAGCGTTTTCTTCCACCGCACTGCAGAATTTTCTGGGTGAAAAAGTGATTCGAATCTTTTTTGGTCCTAAATCCTTCGCTTCCTACACTTCGTTATCTACACATTATGTTTGAATTGCAATGCGATATATGATATATATCATATTTTCCTCCATTTCCAGTAAAATGGTTGGATGATTGGTCCTTCCTAATCGCCTATTGTACAAACAGTATTAACATACAAAATCAGGATAATGTGGCTCATCTGACTGGTTGTTCAGCAACATTTTATCGGTCGTTTGCTTGAGTCTCTATACTTTGGTCTTACGTAACAACTTTCATATGTTAGATTAACCTGAGCATTTTCGTCTCACTGGAGGTGGCCATAAAGCTTGTAACATGAAAAGACCACTGAGGTGTTTTGCAGGATTTTAGACTTTAGTCTGAGCAGTAAATCTCTGTAATGATCTTATATTCCAGCAACAAATTACCGCCAGATCTAAAACCTGGGTTAATTTAACCAATACACAGTTGGCCAAATAATTTCGTGTTCATGTTCTACTATATAATAATAAAAAGGGTTAAAATTTCTAGTTTATCATAAGCGAGGTTCATGGATCATTTCTTCTCGTGTTTGACTTTTGTCTGTTTTAGTATGTTTGCATCTCTTTTCAAATAAAGGCTGAATTTCAGCGTCATGTCTCCCTATAGCTTGTCCTGTTTTATGTCCGCTTTCCTTACGTTTTAATTGTCTTGACCCTACTACATCACTGTTATTAATGTTTTGATTGGAGATAACTACCTGTCATCAACAGTTTCATCTTGGCTAGTTCATTACATGTGGAGCAATCTAGATTTAAACATGTTCACTCACTGTTATGAGAGAATATGGTATGTATACAAATAAAAGCAGCGTTGTGAGAAATTAGTAACTGAATATGCAGAAGTACGCAAGAGTAGTAGCATACAGTCTACAATGGGACTAGAAGGTACAGTGATGGAGTTAGTAGTCCATGATTTACCAGGCCAGCTCAACCGGTGGAGTCTCACCACACCGATTGGGATTGTTCGGACACGTGTCTCGCATCATTATCTATCAGCATCTAGGATTATAAGTGTTGGCTGTCATGAAATTGTGTTGGAAGAGAGTTGAGGGTGGTAAAAATAAAATGTGTTATCAAATCATTAAGTCATTGGTTGTTAGTTTAGGCTAGGGAGGGAGCTGTAGTCTACCTGACTGGTATCCTAGAGACTCTGAGAACTGGTGGTTGGAAACTGTTGGTGACGTGGTTCAAAGTGGTATTCAATGCCACATGTAATTATTCTTTTCCGTATATTATGATTTCGTTGAGTTTCTTGTCTTGCCAACCTTTCCTTGTGTGTGTGTGTGCGCGCTTTACGGAATGTCCAGAATGAGACTGCTTCACTTTTCTTTGCCAAGTTCTATGTTAAAAGCGCTGTTCTGTTCAAAAGTAACATGGTGGCATGAAGTGTGTACATCAATTTTGAGTCTGCTTTTAGGGTGTGTGCTATAGTGTACTTATCATGATCCCGATTGTAATACTATAGTACATCCAGGTGTTCACGTTCTACGATGTGCTAACGCTGTATATGGTCAAAGACGAACAATGATGTGTAAAGAAACACAAGTGAAAACTTGGAAAGATGTATTGTTAACGAAATCAAATTTCGAATGAAAAGCAATGTTCAGTAATACAACAGCATATATTCCACAAGCATATGTAAAGTTGATTTCAGTAAGCGTATAATACGCGTAGTTGAATTAGTTTTCCATTAAAGATAAAATATATTCTGATAAAGTCTCACAGTGTTATACGGTAATATTTACTGATGACATTTCGAACACAATTTATTGCTCATAATCATATCACCTGGATGTGAAACGTCATCAGTAAATATTACTGTATAATGCTGTGAGACTTTATCAAAATAAATTTTATTCTTTAATAGAATTATAATCTACCACAGTGCACAAGTTCTGTTCTCATATCAATGAATTAGTTTTATAAGCTAACAGTCAGAGGCACTACAGTAGTTCCCATTTTGCTTATAATTTTACATTTTACAAAAATTTCTTATTTCTCAATGAACAAAAAAGAAACTGGTATTATTTTCCCTAATGTTCCATTATATACTACTCATTGCTTTATCAAAGTAATGGCTTTCTATTTACTCGGAATATAAAATTATTTAGTACAATTAGTACTATGTTCTCAATGCCCTTTGTTTTTTTCAAACCGTTTGATGTTTTTTTAATTACTGGCGTTAATTATTTCGTCTGTTAATCACTTTTTGTAGGAAGTTCTTCAGATTTGCCGGTTGGACTTCCAAATCCAAGAAATGTGTGTTACTTTAATGCGTTGATGCAAGCGATTGCAGCAAATCGAAGTCTTGTACGCCTTTTGAAACGTAGTGCTCGTATGCGACCAGATAAATTCATGTATCGTTTATTATGTTTATTAGAGGGTAAGAGTTCATCTTTCGCATATTTCTTTTTTTAAAATTCATGTAAAATGTGAAGCCCAGAGTATACTTAATTATGTCATATTTATGCATTCAAAGAAACAGTGTTTGCAAATGGGTCACAAACAGCGCATTACGAAAAGCATTTCCAACAGATTGCTGCAGACTTTTATCAACAACTGACTTCAATGGCTCCATACTGAAGATAAAATGGCTAGAAAGAATCAGCAACAAGAAACGATAGGAACAAACAAACCAAGGATCTGTCGTTCAACAAATATGTAAGGGAAAATGGATATGGGTTGGAAATGCACCGTTACATCGACTGAGATGGTTAAGACATGTGTTACGCAAGCATGCCTAGCCATCGCCTTCCTCGACAAAAGGGCAATATTAGCTGATATAGGGTCAGGCTGGATAAGAGCTAGCGGCGGTCAAACCTCATCAGTCAATGAAATCCGCAACAGTTAGTTTAAGCCAGTCACGTAGGAAGGTGTAGACTTCCTGGCTGGGTTCTTCGGGACGGTAAAAACCAATGGCTGGAAACAGTCGGTAATATTGCTCAAAAATCTTTCTCAAAGGTTTACGCAGATGCATCCACTTCTAGTGGAACTATATGGTTCTTCGTTATTACTATTCCTTTTGTCTCATATCCCTGTCTACTGTCTCTATTTTGCATTTTTCGTTTACTTTCTTCTTTTGCTTTGTGTGCTACATGGAGTGAAGTGTGGCGACCTGAACTGCTGCACATCAGTGCAAAGTTCTATGTTGAAAGCAGACAGACAGACAGACAGAAGAGACTGTTGAATGACATCCCGCGGCAGGCCTTTTAGTGGGATCCGAGTGGCAAACAACGAGTGAGTCGTCTTAGGGTGAAATGGAGGAGATCATGTGGCGAAGAGGAAATCAGAGATGATGGGCAATAGAAGGCTCAGCCAGGTGAAGAGGACAGCAGAAAAAAGTGATGTGTTGTTGAAGCCCTATGTTCCACTAGGAATCTGAAGGAATAGTAATATATAATATAATAATTATATATGTATATATATATATATTTAAAACAATCAGTTCCTTTTATAAATTTGGATAGTGTTATTAGAAGACAGAGACTATCTGAAAGATGTGATGTATTTGCGCCATATATTTCAAACAATCTGATCAAACCTCAAAAGTACACAAGTTACATCTCACACTATTTACCAATTTTCGTGTGTTTGTGTGTGTATGTGGTCACACATACATAGGGAGGAGTAATCGTGATTTGCATGTGAGGGTGGGAGAGCGAGCATATCCCGAAATGGTTAGAAAAACAAATGAATTATGGAAAACCAATAGACGCAGGTGTCAGACTACCAACTTCGTCTATAGCCAAACATCTGATCGAGATGAACCATAAGATTGATTTCAACATAGCCTTTAAGGTCATCTATAAAAATGGTTGAGGGCGCTTATTGAAATACTCTGAGGTTATAGCTATTCATAAACTTAAGCCAACCCCCGACCCCAACATTGTGTATTCAAAAACAGTTTATTATTACTCTTAACTTACCTTGGTAATCCTTATTTGATTTGATTATCAAACGTTAAATCCTTTTTTTGTCACTTTGTTTAATTTAATTGCCCTTAATGTTTTCATATATATCGACTTGACATATAAGTGTGTGATCAGATTGTTCGAAATGTATGGCGCAAATACACCACACCCCTTTTTCAGATAACCTACGTCTTCTAATAATGCTATCCAAATATATATATGTATATATATATATATATCAGGTTGGCTATCCAGTTAAAGATAAGAAAAAGGAGTGTGAGATACTCTGCTGACATCAACAACCCTAAAGACTTCTCTCGATTCAAAATATGTTGCCATCACCCCGCCCCCTGTATGACGTTAGATATCAATTGTTTGTCTAATTGGGAATATTTTTTCGTCTCATAAGCTGATAAAAATACATGCTCGATTTGCAGTGATATCTTATGTGTACATTACTGAGAACTATGCAAACTAGTTCGAGAGAGAACTTTTTACTTTCTTCTTCCTTACTTCTCAGCTGTTCTTCAACTGACTTCAGTCCGCGAAAAGGTTTACTTTAAAATCAATCAAGTTATCACAAACCCCAATGTGTGAGTAGTATTAAACATCAGCGATAGTAATGGCACTGTGTCAAGTTCTTCTACTTATGATTGCAAAAACACCTCACTAGTTTTAATTTCACACCGGCTTTTTGTTTTATCTATTGGCTTGAGGTTTCTTCGCTTCTTGATACTACTACAGTTGAGGTATTGTAGAGTTAGGAGTTTTTTTCATATAGTATGAGTGGAATAAAAAGGTATATTCTCTTATTTTTATTTTCATTAAATGATTTCCTTTAGTTTATTTTAAAGATTTCAATATAATAGTTTCGCTGAACTACTCTACTACCACATAGAACAAGAGTTAACTTGGAATAGTTTTCGTACATTTTACACAGACCTTTGTCTGGTTGATAAGCACACGTATTGTGAATTTATGTGAATTAAAGGGTCGTATTAGTTATTTGCGTTTCAATTACTCGTTATTTAGTCGCACATCTTTCTTACATTCAGTTTTCTGTGATCGCTTTCAATTCACTCCACAACATTCTACAAGCTTAACTCCATTATTGATAAGATTTTATTTCGATAAATCACACAGTTTTGTATAGTAATATTAACTGATGACGTTTCGAGCACAAACTATTGTCATTCATAATCATATCAAGTTACTCACACAACTTTCTTGCCTCATTTATATACATGAGTGAAATTGATGATTAGATATTGGAATAAAAGTCAATATAGGATAACGTACATTCAGAAATAATAATATGAGTGTTATCAATCAAGTACAATCAGATGGAAAATAAGATGTTCTTATGGTAAAATAAATAAATAACTTGTTAGAATGTTATGATGTACGTGAATTGAATTGAAATAGAATTTTAAGATTATTTATTATCCTCCTCTGATTTGACTGACTGGTGGTAATAATATCTTCCATGCATATCTCTGGTATTTGCATTGAGTTATTTCTGTTGCATGTGTTGGATGTAGACTCAATAAACCAGGATTCAGTAATCAATCTCTCTCTCGCTCTCCACCTACCTAGATTACTTCTTAGAATCATAACCCTCTCCCACTCTATTTTGTGGTTGTGTGTCAATGCATGCAGTACAATTGCTGAGCTTTTTTCTAAATTAATTATCTTCTCGGGGTCAACCATTCTTACCCTAGCTAAATTCTTATGTTCCGACAATCTGACTACCCGCCACCTACTAGTTTCACCTATGTAGTTGACCTATCTCACAGTTATTGCAGGGTATATGGTGAATTATATTATTTTGTTTAATTGGGTCAACCGCCAGGGTCCTTTAACCTACAGAGCTTGTCCCTTCCTCAGTGAGTTTGTAGGTTTGAATGCCACTCGAATTCCTCCTTTATCAAGAATCCTATGTGGGGTCTCAGATGTCCCCTCTTTTCATGGTATAACTGTAGATGCCTTATATTCTCTCTTATTTATGTTATCATTATTAGTTTCCCCATTATATTTTGCTTTTGACCTTTTCTGATCTTCCTAATGAATTTTATAGGATAGTTATTTAGCACCAACGCTTCTTCTTCTATCTGTTTTATTTCATCATTTGCGTCTTTTCTTGTGCTGCTTAGTGCTATGGCTCGGTTTGTTAGACACTTAACTAAGCCTGTCTTAACAGTTAACGGATGAGACGAATTAAAGTCTAAATATCTAATAGAAGAAGGTAAATTGCACACTAGCGTCTAGAAAAAACCAACGCATTCTAATAGATGAATAATATAATAAATATATGATATAAATATAATATATGATATAATAAAATATAATAAATCTAATATAAATGAAGCAAGAAAGTTGTGTGAGTGACTACCTTGATATGATTATGAGTGGCAATAGTTTGTGCTCGAAACGTCGTCATCAGTAAATATTACTTTATAACACTAAACTGTGTGATTTATCAAAATAAAATCTTATCTATCTATAATGGAGTTATGCTCTTCTACCACCACAGTGCCAAAGTTTTATACTTACATCAATTCTTACAAGCTTTCATTTCCTTTTCATACGATCTACCCTTGGACACTCAACTCCTCATTTATGATTCGAGTCCCACTTGTCAGCTTGCTTGGTATGTGTGTGTGTGTGATGTCACTTAATTGTCTCCTAAGCTTAAGTCCATTCCTTCTCCATCTCCTTTTGTATATTTTTTTCTCAAGCAATAGGCCGTTGACTTTTTTTCTGCTTGTTGCCTATCCTTACTGGTCGGCCATCTAATCTTTAGTAGCAGATGAAAGAGGCAGGCGTTGACGAAAGTCTACAGTCTGTTGTTTTTTTTTACATTTTAATAATTCACACTAATTATCGGATACGATCTAGTGAAACGATAATCGATTATCCGTTAATATCCAATTTTTAAATCTCATTCATTCCCTAAATGATTGTGTTACTTTTTCAGACTCAATGTTGATTAATTAGTGTAATCAATGGCTGAAGAGGGTAATTACTTTTCTGCAAATTGTAAGAATTCTTTCAGCTAGGAAAACATAAAGAAACGCCTGACATATGACTGAGAATAAAACTACTTTATATAAAATGCTCCTATATGAAGTTGGCGACATGGCTTTAAGAGGCTGTCGGGGTGTTTTCTACGGCTCTCATCGTTGTTTGTGGTCACAGAGTGAAGTGAAGATGATTCACTAGCCTGAAGAATAGGACTAACTGCTGTAGGGGAATAAGGTGAAGGTGATGTGGGTAAAGGAGAATGATGCTCGGGGAGGCTTAGTGTATGCTCTTGGAAGTGTGTGGGTGGTTGTTACTTCCCGACTGCCCACACCTTGAAAGATGGTTGATTCTTCGGGTACCTGAAACAGAAAGAGGGTTAGTGTTGCGTGACCCCAGAGTTCAGGGGACAACTGCTTGAAGCCAGTCATACACGACCTGTCTTAACTGGCTTTTTGGTTTGGTTCTGTATTAACAACTTACCGCCGGCTACGGACCACCCCACCGTAGGGTAAGTCGGGATGTACAATTTTCGGGGTCGAACTTTTCTAACCCCGTCTCTCTCTCTCCGGAGTGGAGAGACAGCATAGCTGGCTGGCATGCTGGTCATCTGAGGGAAACACCTAACTGCTGTTACATCTCTGTTCCCCAGCAGTACGACTTCGCCCACAGACCCCCAGCATAGTGTAAAAAGAAACATCTTACACTATGCCGGTAACTGCTTTTAGTCTAATCTCGCTATCCTAACAACCTTCCTGGCATGATAGGACCTGTGGGAACAATAGTTCCAGCCAGTGTAGCTTGTTGGGTTATTGCGATACTCGCAAGCCCGAGACCACCACATCAAGGTAGCAGCTATCGGTCGGCACTTTATATAAAGGCAATTAATATGTGGATTGGGCAGAGTTTCTTAATACTCTTTGAAGAATTCATTGAGGTTCTTCACTTCGCATTAATGAAATTTGTGAAATAGATAAATGCTCTGAGAAGGTATTCACAGTAGAAGTAAAATATTAAATTTTCTCAGTTGGGCAGTTATCTCCTGTCATGTATTATGTGATAATTACTGCCACCATGGATGCAAGAGTTTGGAGTTTGATAAGGTGAACACTACTGGTGAAAGTTAGAATTCACTGGTTGGCAATTTAGTTGGGTCTCAGGGACTGATTGGTCTGCGAGCTTCACTTGTAACTGGAAGGTCCTGAGCTCGAACCGAACCGGTGGGTGGGTACTACCGATGAGTCCCAAATTAGGCTGACGAAGCAGTTGTCCAGTGCTCCCTGGTTTTTCAGTGGTTCTCTAACTGATATCAATCCGTGGTCAAATCCCTACAAAAATTAACTCTTGATGTCATGTTGTGGTGAGGGCTGGCTGCAAGCCAAAATTGTAGACAACATTTTACGTCAATGTTCACGTCTCGAATCAGGGTTATGACAAAAGCAGTAACAAAGCTTAACCTTGAGAAAATCACCAGGCAATCACAGCGGAGTTAAAGTGTAGAAATATGATTCGCAGATATATAGCTTGATTTTCTGAGAAACGGCCACAAAAAGATAACAGAATAACCTTCAGCAAGAAAACAACCAATCAGAAGACGTTGCTTCTCTGCTAACAGTAACGCTAATAATAATGTACATAAAAATTTATAAATATCTGTTGATTTTCTCAATAAACGATCTGTTGCCTGGTCCGTGTCTTCTGTCATTACAATATTATTGTAGTTGAGAATTAATGTGATTGGATATCCACCTGACAAGTGTAACGAACGTTAGAACATGGGGAAAAAAGCTAGTAACATGCGTAAAACGGGTACGTAAGAGTGATAATAACACATTTTTCTACTAAAAATAGAAGCAAATAAGTAAATTGGAGTTTAAGACCATCGTAGGATAAGAGACTGAACAAATGTTTTCAGCACATAAAGTTATAGAATATATTGACGAATCGCTAACGCCTTTGTCATACTAAAGTGTCGAAACAAAACACTGCTTGTACCATTCAAAATGTTACTTGACAACCAGGTGCAATTCCATGCAGTTGGCAATCTGCCACACCTTTCATTTGAGAGTTAGTATTGCTACCTGGCTACTCAAACCTCAATAAGTGGGATTGAGGTTGAAACCTGTGACCCACTGGTTGGAAGGAAATTGGGCGCCTAGACTAATGAACCACAGCTCCACAACTTAGCTTGTGTATGATTTTAAAACAGGACTCTGGTGGAGCTGTGTGTAGCTTGCGTGTTCACTAGGTGCTTGAAAATATATCTGTTAACGGACTTGTGTTGTCGTCTTGAGATGGTCTTAGAAAGTGTGTTTCGTCCTATCAATATAACTAGCTTCACAGGAGCAGACGAATCGGTGAACATACATGTTAAAGTGGACCAAAGCATCAGTTTGTCCTCCACATATATCCATTGATCATTGTGTACCACACCTTATGAAGATGACTCACTTGCCTAATTGCCTTTCATTAATTTTTATATATCAGTATAGCAAAAATATTCATTCAGACATCTATAAAACACAAAATAATTGAACAAAGAATACTCTTTTCGATAGATAATTCCCTCTTCCAACTCTACAATTATGTATGCATGTTTATATACACAGAAATTTTTCTAGAATAGTAGACAATAACAATATTGGTGTTTCTTTTAAATAATATCGATTTGTAAAGTAAGATCACAATGGAATTACAGTTCATTAAAGATGCTTAAATAATAATAATAAAGATATAATAGCAAATAGAATATCAACTAAAATTAAGGAAATTTCTACAAAAAGTTGAGGATCATTCAAACCTAGATGACCAGCGGGGTAAGGACAATGTCTGAACTAGCTTCTTCTTTTGGGCGCATAAATTAGGCTTCTTAATGTGGATCCCAATGGCCAGTCTCAGCAATAATTAGTAGTCGAACTCTTAAGGCGAAGTTAAGATATGCGATAAGGTATGTGGTAAGTGACTTTGAAAGCTGCCTCGTTGACATCAATCTTGTGTTCTGTATTCAGGAGATAAAATAGAATAGCGCTATGTGAATAGATTTTGTTTGTTCTTTACTTAACCACTGTGCATTATGATGTTCAGAGCCAGTTACATAGGCTGTACAATTAGACGTTTCCACGTCTCCACTTGTTTCTGTCTTCTGTTGTACTTTTCACATGCATCCATGTTAGTCCATACTGTTTCAGCTCCTGTTCACACGATCTCCTCCATGTCACCCTTCGACGTCCCACTCGCCGCTTCCCTTCCCGGTTCCACTCGAGCACTGGCCTGACGCGCGATGTCACCCAGCGGTCTCCTCAGCGAGTGTCCAATCCATCTCCACTTTCTCCTGCATATTTGTTGAGCGAATGGTTCTTGTTTTGCTTGTTCCCATAGTTTCTTGTTGGTGATTCTTTCCGGCCATCTGATCTTCAGTATATAGAGCGAAGACAGTTGTTGATAAAGGTCTGCAACAGGCTGTTGGAAATATTCTTTGTGACCCGCCAAGTTTCTGATCCGTATAGAAGAACTGACTGACTTGACGTTTGTATTGAAAATCCGAATTTTGTTGTTCTGTGTATATAAACATATGTGTGTATAATTGTAGAGCCAGAGAAGGAGCAAATTATCGAGAAGGATATTCTTTGCTAGCTCAATTATTTTGTGTTTTTTATAATATCAGTTGCCTTTGTACTCTTATTATTTCTTCAATTCAGTGTTTGTTTGTTTTTATTTCTCATGTATGCCATTCTTATGTAATTCTTCTTTGACAGGATTACAATGTTCTTCTCAGTATATAACAGAGAATAAATTAGAGGTTGTATTGAAAAGAGCACATGAAGCACTGATCAATGATATAGTGAATACACAAAATTGGGCAATTCATGAACAACAGGTTAGATTGTTATTATTATTATTATCATTACTATTATTATTGTGTGATTCTTTTTCTTATTTATTTGTGTTTTCTTTTGTTAACTTTATTTGCACTTATCATTTTTCACCATCAATCTGTTTTCATTTATTTTGTTAACTGCAGTTTTGTTTTTCGCCACGCCAGTGAAACATAGATATTCAAGCTTTGGTGTCTTAGTAACAGTGGAGATGACTATTTCATGGGGTGGTAGGATTGTTAACCTCATGTGTGGGGTAACCTTCCCTCTTTCCCTTTGGGCTTACTGCCTACCGGCTAGCAGGAAACTAGACAAGGTTTAGCGACACATCCGTCGGAAATTGAACTCTTTCCTCTCCTAGTGTTGGTGGCACCATCAACGCACAGATAATAGCAGTAGTAGTGTAATGAGTGCTACTTATAATCAGATATAAGTAGTATATCAGTAAACGAGTTCAGAAAAGTAGTAATATGTTTCGGATACTGAAAAAAGCAATCAAAGAACAGAACTGTGAGAAGAACGTTTTCCATATTACTTCTCGGTTTGACAAGTTGTTTGAAGTTGTTTGTCAAACCAAGGGAACAATGATATATATATATATATATATATATATATATATATATATATAATGTGCTAAGTAAAGACTCATGTTATGTAAACCCTTCTTTTTTTCACTTCATCTTAGGATGCCCACGAACTGTTTGGTTTCATTATGGAACGTATCTGCAGTCTGGATAATAATTTTCTTAGTAAAACTTCTGCTAGACTGACAAGTAATCTTTTCAATTTCAGTCTTCCAAATGATAAAAGAGTGAGTCTATTGATTTTTGTTTTATTTCATCCATATCAGTTGGCTGCAAATGATGAGTAAAGTTGGCGTTTAGTAGTGCTTAAGCTGTCTCAGTTTAGTTAGCTAGTGGACACTACCTCTTGATGTAGCATACGGAATTACGCAAGAGTTTTAAGTAGTTAGAAAAATAAGCATAGAAGCAAAAGTTAAGTCAAATCAACAGAGTTTTTACCATGAGAGTAGAAGTGGTTGAATAATTTTCTTTTGTATGCATAGTGCTGAATGGCTAAGGCATCTGCAATGCAAAGAACACGGAAACGTATTGTCCTTGGCAGATTGTTCTTCACTTTGTAGATTACTTTGAAGGAGGCGTTTGTTGAGATGGAATAACTAGTGGTGAAGAGATGTTTGATTATTGTACACGATGAGCACAACTCTTTCATCAAACTATTCATGTTATTGCATAACTCTTCTTTAACAATCGTTTGTGACAACTCATCACTTTTCTTACTACCCTCTTATATCAACATCCAATTCATCTGAACTTTCTAATTGTATTTTCGCTGGTCAAATTTAATGTACACATACACACACATACAAAAGAACCATATATATTTGCGATTGTACAGCTTTGAAAATGAATTCGCCGGTGAAAAGAGACTCTTCGCTGAACTACTTACTGGTCTTCTGTCTATGAATGTTCGAGTGGGGGAATTTTTCATGCATACATAGAAGAGGCGAAATTAGGCAGTTTTTCTTTATTTCATGAACTAAGTATTGGTTAACTAGTGAATAAACAGCATAACTCAGCTGCTTTAAAGGTTCTTGCGATAGGCTTTTCTCAGATGGGGTGTATTATGGCTTGTATTGTAAAATTTATATTTCTTGTCGACTAACAAGCTGTTGTAGAATATTCGCTAACTAAACAAGTAGTGGTTCGGGTTTCGATTCGTGGGCGACGCACTCTTGAACCTCGATTAGCCGGTGGTAAGCCCGGGCAAAGAGGGTAGGTTGGGCGTAAGGCTAGCAACCCCACTAGTCAGGAAAACACCGCCGCTACGGAACCTTCAAAGGTCAAGCTTGAAGCCGTATGTTCTACTCGGGACCCAAAGGAATGAAAAAACATATGATCGGTTTACTTTTGATGTGGAACACTATATATATATACATATATATATATATATATATACATATATATGGTGAGAGCTGTCTGCAAGACAAAATTGTAGACAACGATTGACGTCAATATTTATGTCCCAAATCTGGGTCATGAGAAAAAACAAGAACAAAGCCTAACCTTGAGGAACTCAACAACCAATCACAGCAGACTTGGCGTGGGCGGGTACGATTCGCAGATATATCAACGGACTGTCTCAGAAACGTCAACAAAGAGATGACAGAATAACCTTCAGCAGGAAAACAACCAATCAGAAGACGTTGCTTCCGTGCTAACGATTACGAATAATAATGTACATGAAAATCTATAAATATCTGTTGATTTTCTCCATAAAGGATCTGTTGCCTGGCCCTTGTCTTCTGTCATTACATATATATATATATATATTGATGAGGAACTTATTATTGTTATCAGAATACAAAACTACCCAGACCATCAGCCCGAAGCAAGATTGTTGTCTTAGGGAACCACCCTAGATTCTTTGACTTGAATTCTCATCCAGAAACGGCGGTCCTAGCTGCTGCGGCTAACAAAAACAGATCCATACGCCGTTTATTCCCTTTGGATTCTGGAGCTGATGTCCACCGGAGGTTAGGAATCAGAGTTTTCCAGCTCCCTTAGGTAAACCAGCATGGTCCATCAGTCCGCTTGACAACTTGCATTTGCCTTTTGATTTTTGTGAGGGACACCTTTTGCCGCGTGAAGGCAGCGGTGTGAGTAGGACGTACGTCACCAATTGGACAGAGAGGTCTGTTCACCCTCGACCATATCAAGTCGCCTTATAGTGAAGAACCAATTTAAGAAGGAATATTGTATATCTCTTTGGCGCCAATTTTCTTTTGAGCATAAAATTTATCCTTACAGATTATGATTAAATTGATTAATTTTTTTCTATCGTTTTTGTTTTTGTCTTTTTTTTTGTTAACCAAAAATAAAAAGATAGTTCTCTGTCGTTCGTATTGTTCAGCTATTGAAAGTATAAAATTTCGTTCAGTGCTGTGTGATACATTTCCAACTCAAGTATTCGAACAAACTTTGGTGGCTAGTCGTGTCACTTGTAATTCATGTCACTATCATAGTAAAGTGGTTATCCAGCCGGAAGCTTGTCTAACTGTATTTCTAAGTGAGTTGGCTTTTTTTCCTACTATTATTATTATTTTAAAGCTGATCAATCATATACTGTAATATATATTAATGATTTTATCAGGGTTTTTATCACAGTACCGCTCTTATTTATATTATTATGTAATCATTCTCAGTGAATAAATGAAGACAGTTCACTTTTCTACTTTTCTCAATTTTGTAGTGACAGACTTATTTCCAGTCTTCTCTACTGTACTGTACTGTACTCTACTCTACTCGGGACTGTCTGCCTGTTTCTGTCTGTCTGTTTTCGGCATAGAACTTTGCACCGGTGTGTAGAAGTTCGAGTCGCCATAATCTCTTCTTGTAGCACACAAAGCAAGAGAAAAAAGTAGAAGAAATGCATAATAGAGACAGTAAACAGGGATATATGACTAAAGGATTAGTAATATCGAAGAACAATATAGTTTTATTGGGTATTGTAAGTCACAGGGAGTGGATGCATCGGCGCCAGTCATTGAGAAAGATTTTGGGACATATCACCAATTGTCTCCAGTCTGCATTGGTTTTTACAGTCCTGAGGACCCCAACCAGTCAGGAAGCTAGTCTACACCTTCCTACGTAACTGGCTGGCTGGCTTAAACTAACTGTTGTGGATTTCATTGACTGACGAAGCCATGTTTTGTTTTCACTGCCGCTAGCTCTTTTCCAGCCTGATCCATCCTATGCCAGCTAACGTTACCCGTCAGTCGAGGAAGGCGTTGGCTAGGCATGCATGCGTAACACATGTCCTAACCATCTCAGTCGATGTAACTTCATAGCCTCGTCGATTGGTTTCCCCACCTTACCCAGCACTCGACCTATGCTTAACCTCAATATTGTTCACCCTATTATACCACTTAACACGGGATTTAGATAGAATGCAGACACCTGTAATCAAAGACAACTAGTCTTTTCATGTCTTCCACTCTCAAAGGCCGGGTCTCACGGCCACAAGGGAGGACGAAGTGTACTGCTGAGCAGTACACATGCCCTTTGGTCGATAGCCGGATATCACGTGTACTGAGCCAGAGACGGTGTAAACTGGCATATGCGAAACTAGCTTTCTGTATTCGTCAGAGATCAAACCGTTAGCGCTGGCTGATGCAACTTCCCAAATAAGTGATGCGGTCAACACGCTCCACCAACCACTTCACTCCTGCCTATTTCTAAGCTAGGAGTCCCGAGTAGAGGACTTCGAAAGCACACGAAGCCTTCTACTCGGGACTGTTTTCTCTAATTAGTATACAAAACTGAAATGGCCAAGTTCACAATTTGCAATCTACACAAGCTGGAATGGTGAAATTTCACTGGAGGTTTCCTGTAGAAACCAATTTATTCAGATCACAACCATAAGTAATCTGCTGCTTGATACTATAAATGATAGAATTCAAGAAAGCAATTAAATTCTCATAAAACTACATATAAAACTGATGGGTTGAGGTAAGTAGTTGCGTAACAGTAATTATCAGCCAGTAGTGCTTTCTAGCATAGCCACGGATGCAGAAAGCTCGTTTCGCATATGCCAGTTTACTCCGTCTCTGACTTAGTAGACGTGATATCCGGTTGGCTGTCGACCAGAGGGCGGGTGTACTGCTCAGCACAGAAGTCCGCTCCGTCCTCCTTTATGGCTGGCTGCTACCTTGACGTGGTGGTCGGGCTTGAACACTGCAATGACCCAACAAGCTATACTGGCTGGAACTTATGTTCCTGCAGGTCCTACCATGCCAGAAAGGTTGTTTGGATAGCAGTTAGACTAAAAGCAGTTACCCAATCCAATCCTATGATTTCAAATAAATCACAAAACATCATGCCGGATCGGTCGGGGCCCGGATTAACAACGACCGCGCTTTCTGCTGCCGTGTCACAGGGCAGAAGTGATAAATATGCTACTTAGACACACCAAATAAAAAAGAACAAACAAAAACAGGCCGTGTGTGACCGGCCTCAAGCAGTTGTCCCCTGGGCTCTGCGGTCACGCAACCAACTTCCATGGTGTGGGCAGCCGGGAAGTAACAATCGCCCTCACAATCTGAAGTGCACGCGAAACCTCTCTAATCCTCACTCATCTTTGTCTTCATCTTCATCTCTATTATCTTGCCTTCCTTCTACCAATGCAACTCCTCTACTTGTTGGCTCTTCACTTCCTCTTCACTCTGTGTGCACTGATAACGATGGAAGCCAAAAAGCCACCATCGATGGTCTCCTAAAACCACGCCACCAATTTCATATAGGGGCATTTTATGTTAGGACACTTTGCCAAATAGGACAACAAGCATCACTAGCCAAGACTCTGGCATCCCGAGCCATTGATGTATGCTGTGTTTCAGAAACACGCATACAAGACCCAAGTGTGGTTATTCACCTAACCCCACCTGGCCAACAGGATGAATCTGCAAAATTCACCTTGAGGGTGTCAGGAGATACGACGGCTAGCTCACGAGGATTAGCTGGTGTTGGGATAGCTTTAAGTACTAGAGCAGAAAAGACATTACTTGACTGGATCCCGGTAGATAGCCGAATGTGTGCTGTCCGCCTGAACGGATCAGTGAAAAGGAGAAAGGACTGCACTACCCGCCGATGCCTTTTCGTAATCTCCGCCTACGCCCCCACTGACTGCAGTTCGGATGAAACGAAGGATGAGTTCTACCAAAAGCTGTCTAGTTTGCTGCGAAAGGCTAGACGCTCAGATATAATCGTTTTAGCTGGTGACTTTAATGCTCAAGTAGGGAAATTGTGTCAATCTGAGAAGAATGTCGGTGGCACATACGGAATTCCGTGCCAGCGAACCGACAACGGTGACCGTCTCCTACAGTTCTGTTCAGATAATCATTTGTATCTTGTAAGCACTAACTTCAAACACAAGGAGAGACACTGTTTGACCTGGCGACCCTCATCATCAAATCAACGCTGAACACAAATAGACCACATAGCAATAAGCTATCGTTGGCGTGGGTCGGTAGGAGATTGTCGCTCCTTCTGGAACACGTGTGTAGATACCGATCACGCACTGGTCCGCGCTCGTGTGTGCTTACGACTGAACGGACGTAGGAAACAGCTGGCGGTAAACCCATCACGTCCCCACCTCGATCAGGAAACTAAGTCCCTATTTGAGGAAGAACTAGTTAAACACATATCTGAATTCGACAGCTGTGCTCACCCTGAAGAAGCCTGGAAGAATATTCAATCAGCCATAGATACAGCTGTAAAAGCTGTGAATAAGGTAAATCCAAAGGTGAGTAAAAACCATTGGATTTCGACTGCCTCATCCGAACTGATAGATGCTAGAAGACTTATTCCGGCGAGCTCCGAATTCAATGAGGAGCGAAAGCTGCACAAAAGGAAACTTACGAAAAGTCTCCGCAAGGACCGCGAACAGTGGTGGTTGACAAAGGCGAAAGAGATGGAAAAAGCATCGGCGATAGGCAACACCAGACAACTATTCAGGCTTATCAGGGAAACAGGTGGTAAAAGGCAAATGATAAGCGAAACAATCTCCGAGAAAAATGGCACCTTAATTAGCTCCCAGGATAGACGTCTGGAGCGCTGGAAAGAACACTATGAGGAGCAGTTTAATTGGCCCACAGCCACACTTAACCTGCCGGACATCCAACACCTCCCCGAATGGGAGATAGACACAGGTCCTCCGTCCTTAACTGAGGTTACTAAAGCTGTCACCAATCTGAAGCAAGGCAAAGCAGCGGGACCTGATTTATTGACTCCAGAGGTATTTAAGTACGGAGGAGACAGTTTACTGTCTGCGTTAACGGAGGTTCTAGGCAGCGTCTGGGAATCAGAGGAAGTCCCATCGGGTTGGTGTAAGTCACTGATCATCCCGATATACAAGAAGGGAGACAAGTCTTCTTGTGATAATCACAGAGGGATTAGCTTGACTAATATAGTATCTAAAATCCTAGGCTCAATAATCATGCGTAAACTAAGTGGTGCTCGGGAGACACAAACACCAGAAAACCAGGCAGGTTTTAGGCCAGGTAGAGGGTGTATTGATCATATCTTCACCCTTCGACAGATTCTAGAACATAGGCATTCCTACCGGCGTCCGACAATCATTACATTCCTTGACCTAAAGGCGGCATTCGATTCTGTCAACCGGGAGGTTCTCTGGCGATGCTTGGCTGTAAAGGGAATGCCAAGAAAATACATTGCACTGATTAAGGCACTCTACTCGCACTCATGTAGCCAGGTGAGGGCTTATGGCGAGTTGTCATCTGAAGTGGTGACGACTAGTGGTGTCCGTCAAGGATGCCCATTATCCCCATTCCTATTCAACTTCATCATAGACGTACTAATGGACTTAACCCTAACACACTTCAGCGACTCGGGGATTGACTTGCTACCAGGCAATAATCTCGTTGACTTAGAATATGCGGACGATATAGTCCTTCTAGGCGAGGACTCTGACAAAATGCAGAGTCTACTGAACACCCTGAGCAACAATCTTCGTATGTTTGGCATGCGATTCGCTTCTGCTGTCAAATGTAAGATGATGCTGCAGGATTGGACTCCATCGACCCCTAGATTAGAAATAGGAAGTGAAGTGGTAGAGCACGTTGACCGCTTCACTTACTTGGGAAGTACCATCAGCCAACGCCAACGGGTTGATCTCCGACGAAATCTCAGCACGAATACAGAGGGCTAGGTTCGCATTTGCCAGTTTACGCCGTCTCTGGTAGTAGACGCGATATCCGACTATCGACCAAAGGGCGTGTGTACTGCTCAACAGTCCGCTCCGTCCTCCTTTATGGCTGTGAGACCTGGCCATTGAGAGCAGAAGACATGAAAAGATTAGCTGTGTTCGATCATAGGTGTCTGCGTTCTATCTCCCGTGTGAATTGGTATAATAAGGTGAGCAATATTGAAGTTAGGCGTCGAGTGCTAGGTAAGGCGGGGAAATCAATCGACGAAACGGTGAAATTACTTCAACTGAGATGGTTAGGACATGTGCTACGTATGCCTAGTCATTGCCTTCCTCAACTGACG